TATTTTTTGTTTTTTTTACGTTTTTCTTTAATTTTCTTTTGCCTAACTCAATTCACACCTCGAAAACAGTTGCATTTCGTTTATCTCAAAAGAGAAAAATATATATTAATAATTATTTTTAATATTTTCTTTTAATTTGTATCCATAATATATATATATATATATTTTTTTTTACTTTTTGGTTTTTGATTAAAAAATATTGCAGCTCAAAATTGTAATACTTTTGTTTAGAATTATTTATTTTTATTATTCTCTCTGCCAGATCTTGCTACAAGATGATATTTCTATTAGCATTTTTTTTCCATAATTTTGTGTTTAATCCAGAACCTAAACCTGAACTTGATCTGTGTTTTTATTGTTTTTTTTTTTTGTCAAGTATTGGGCTGAATTTCTCATATGTATTACGTATTTCATGTCGCTACTTTATGTCTTCTATATATATATATATATATATATATATATATGTGTGTGTGTGTGTGTTTTTGTAGTTGTAGTTGTTGTTGTTGTATATTTAAACTCTTATCGTGTGGTATATGTTTAGCTAGAGCTTTTCAATTTGTTGTACGGAAGAATTTGGATACATTTCAATATTTTTGTTTTCTTAGTTAATTGTGTTCTTTTCTTTTTAGCTAAAAGTTATCATTTATCTAGAAGTTTTTCTTTTTGCTTATCTTTGCTATTTCTGCCATATACTCTTAACTGGGCGCTTAACATGTGTGTGTGTGCGAGTGTGTGTGTGTGTGTGTATCTGCGTGTGTGTGTATCTACGTGTGTGTGTGTGTGTGTGTGTGTTTGTATCTGCGTGTGTGTGTGTATCTGCGTGTTTGTGTGCGAGTATGTGTGTGTGTGTGTATCTGTGTGTGTATTTGGGTGTGTGTGTGTGTATCTTCAGCTATGTATCTAATATGTTGTTTGCAAATTTGCTTCAGCTGCACAGTGTGCAATTTCGTTAAGTTTCTGAACAAAATTCTTTTGTTTTAGGGCGAAAATTGAGAGAAAATCAAATTTAAACAATTGCAGAATTTTGCACTTAAGTTGTCAGCAGAAGGCAAACAGAAGATTTCCTTAAGAGAAAAAACTATATATGCAGTGCTCATAATAAACCTAAAAAAAAAAAAAACAGTGTTAATAAATTCCATTTTGTTTTGTTTACGTATATGAGCGTATTTCTCATATATCTCTCATTGACTAAAAATACTCAACAACAATTATTTCGTTTACTTGAAACCATTTTAGCTACAATTTATATGTTTTTTTTCTATATATATATATATATACTTATATCGTTTAAATATTTTTCTATGCATTCGCCGCAACATGAAAGAAAAAAACACGCGTTTTGCAACACTCAAATCATAGTTGTTGCCTTTCTCGTTGCTTTCACCATTTGCCATATGTTTGTTGTAGTTGTTGTTGTTGTTGTTGTTTCTGTTGTTGTTGTTGTTGTTGTTGCCACACCCGAACTTGCCTGCAGCTTGATACGATATCGAAGTTATTTGTATATATATATATATATATATATATATACCAAATATGTGTAGAAGTTTCTCAAAAATGCTTTGCTGACAATAATGTTCCAAAAAACGTGTTCTATATAAAAAGGAAAAATGAAACGTTCTGGCTTTTCGGGTTTTTCTTCAAATTGGGAGGGGGGTGTGGGTGGGGGGTGGGGGTAGCCTATTGTTATTCCAACTAAAACTAAACAACGTTTAATATAAATACGAATACAATGCTTGTTACAGCTAATCTCGCTCTAACTCTTCTGCTAAATATGTAATGCACCTGTGAGTGTTTTTTTTATCTACTTTTCTCTCAACTATTCTCGAGTAGTCTCAGCTATTCTCAGCTATTCTCTTCTATTTCTTGTAGAGTTCGTTGCACGTTTTTTATTGTATTTTGTTGTTTGTTTCTTAGACTCTCCTTTGGGCGCGTCTCTGCTAATTTTGGATACGCTAATTCGCAATATTCATATGCAATGTTGATTCAATTGATTCAATGATTCAATCAGTATTCAATTCAGTATTCACTCTTACAATATAATAACGACAGCTGCGTCTCTCAATATTTTTTTGGACTGGGCCTATTGCGAAATGACATGAATGTGTGTGAGAGTGTGTGTGAGTGTGTGAGTGTGTGTGTGTGTTGCTTGCGTCTGTATTTATCAATCACATTTTCTTCTGTGTCTGTGTTTCTTTTACTATCATAATATTGCTCTATTATAATATCATTATTATTTGATATCCAATCGTAATTTTATGCTGCTTTCTAATGCCCAGTTTTCATTATTTTTTGTTTTTTGTTTTGCGGTTCGACTAATAAGTACAATATCATAAAAATAACACTGTATATTTTGTTCTGTACCATATTTTTTTTTGTTTTTTGTAAATATAAATATATATAATATACATATATGTATCTCAGGTTTTTCGTTTATTAAATACAATATAATATAACCATATACTATATATATATAAAACGCGCTCGCGACAAAAAAAAAAAACAATTCCAAATCAAATTTACAACTTGTCTCGCACCCCCCCCCCCCACCCGCTAGCCACGCCCCTCCCCCCTTCAACACACGCCGCCTCTGCCCTTTGCATTAGCGTATTGGAGTGAGAAGTGTTGCGTTGTGTGTGTGGCATTTGAAAAATTCGTACACTTTTTTTTATTTTCGTTTGTTTTAATATATTTTTTAATTATATTTTGTTTTTTTTTTTTAGCGTCAGTCTTGTGTAAATTAAATTTTACTTCAAAAACATTTTAATGCACACACACACACGCGCGCACACATAGACGCGCACACACACACACACACACACATGTGCCACTAAAGGGGCGCTGCATGGGCGGGGGCGAGGGTGGGAGCAGGGGCGTGTCGCACGCGCTTTGCTTGTTATATAAAAAATGCTTCCGCTGCTCGACATCTATATATATATATATATATATATATATATAGTACATATATCTAATAAAATGTATTTCATATATATATACATATGTATGGTATATATATGTATATAAGGTTTAATCAATTCACACGTAGACGTTTTTTAAAAAATGCATTTTCTTATTTAACGATTTTTGCTATAGTACTTGCTTTGAATGAATCGTATAATAAGTTGACGCCATCTAGATATTGTACTTATAACTTATGCGATACACAACACACATATATATATATGCATAGAGATATACACTATCTTTCTATATAGATATACTTGTACGGGAAGAGTGGAGAGAGAGAGACAAAGTTTAGCAAATCAATAATAATTGAACATTTAGATTTCGATTATAGAGGCTGCTTTTCCACATATAGAGTATATATATATATAGAGTATTTGCATGTATATATGTACATACGCTTAAATAGACGATGCCTGACTGCACTGAGATACCCTTGCCAAAGTGAAGAGTATACGATCATTCAACTGGTCTAGAATGTTTCAACCAGGCAGCTATAGCACAAGGAATCTGTCTGCCTTTCACTCGCGCAAGGGTATTCGAGCTTCGGCTAGCCGAATTTGCGACTTTTCTCTGCAGTAATTAGAGCTAATTTGACACAACCGTTTAATTCAACTATTCGTATAACTCACTGAATCTATATAGTTGCCCTCCTCGAAGATTCGTTGCACGTTTGCGAATTTCACTTTGAAGCGTCCTGAAAGTATGCTACAGTTTTTTTGTTGTGCATATTACGTATACGCCACGCGCGCGCATGTGTCTGCAGTGTGTTAGTGTGTGTGTGTGTGTGTGTGGAAAATAAATAAAAGTAAATAAAATCAATAGTTCGTTTCGGGCTCTCATTTATTTGCTTGACAATTGGTAATTGTTGGCTAACTTCGAAATTTAGAAAAAACTTCTATATATACACATATACACAAAGGGCAACGAATTTTGTACGCGCAAGCAGCCAAATAATGCAAGGTATGGTAAAAATACAGAGTATAATACATATATATATATATATATATATGTGTGAGAAGAAACGTTGAAAATTTTGCAAATTGTTGTTGTCGGCCAAAGTGGAAATTGCAGACCTTTATTATATTATATAGAAGAACTACTAATCGGAACGCCAAAATTGAACCCGAAACAAATTAGGTTTGGCCAAACATTGATACTCTACATACGATAACTATATTCGCTTTCGGTATCATTCAACTGAGGGCTACAGTCGATAGCAAAGGACAAAGGGGCGTGGCGGGGCGGGGGGCGGGTGGGTTAGTAGCAAGGAATGGGGCAAGAGACTTGCGAGACGGGGTATTACGTCTGATAGTATGGATTGATTGGGATTTCGTGTTAATCGAAAGAATTCCTGAAGAAGTTTGGATATGCTTTGGTCTCGACTGATCTCTCTCGGCCTACTCTCTCTCTAAGAGGTTAGTTGGGTGGGGAGGGGGCGGAGGGGGTGGGGAAACGACGTTGCGACTTGCTAAAACCCTGCCTAGGCCTGCATACTAGTTGTTGCTTTTGCTTTTGTTGTTGCGGTTGTTGTTGTGGCACGAACTGCAGCCCATTTTGAAAGTCTGGCTTAGAAACGAAACAACGAACAATAGAAACGAAATACAGAAAAACTATGAAACAATTTGAACAATCGGTAAACAAATTAACGAAAAAAATTATGAAACTATTTCAAGTGTGGCGCCACCAATGCTGCATTGTTTTTTTTTTCTGTGTTTTCTTTTAGGTATTTTCTTTCTCTCCTCTCTCTCTCTCTCTTTCTGTCCTGCTCATTTTCCACATTTGCTTTCATTGGCATTGTTTTGGCTCTGCCAGCCCGGTTCTGGTTCGAACTCTGCCTGCTGTGGCTCTCTCTCTCTCACTCTCACTCTCTTTGTCTCCTTTTAGTTTCTCTCTGTCTGCCTCTCTCTCTCTCTCGTTGCACACGCATTGCGGTCCAGGCGCTGGCTTGTTTTTCTTGATATATTTTCTTTTGCTTTTCTTCTCATCTGCGTGTCTTCTGTTTTGTTTTCTTCAATTTTCTTCTGCTTTGCGTATTTGTTTTTTCTTCGATTTGCTTCCAGTTGCTGCTGCTACTGTGTGTGTGTGTGTGTATGTGTGCGTGTCCTATCCGTAGTTTTCTTGAGTTCTTCTGTGTTAGACTAGGCATGGAGACTACATGGACATGCGCCAATTGGTCACCGAGATGTTGCTTTTGCTATTGTTGCGATTGTTATTGTTGCTGCCATCATCAAACTCCCAGGCGGCATGCGGGGGCGCATGATGCGGCATCGGTGGCTGGGTTTCTAATGGAAAATTAAAATGGATCTTGGAATTGGATTGGGGTATCAGACACGGGCTGGCATTACGCATATGCAAAAGCGTTGTGCGTCAAGTGTAAACAAACTAAAAGCAATAATTATAAACAAATAAATAAGAGTTGGAGTGTTTTTCTAGTGTGCGTTCTTCACTTTTTTATGCTAAAAATAATTAAGTAGCTGTTGCTTTATTTACCTTTTTTTTAGTTCTCTTTTTAGCTTTCCTTTCTCGCGTGTGTGTGTGTGTGTGTGTGTGTTAAATAATTGTGATGATCTTTGTCGCTTTTCCACATTTAGTATATATATAATTACACTCTAGAGCTGCGCGTATGTTGTTGTTTTTTATTACAGTTTTCCATTTAATTGCTGAATTCTTTTTTTTTTCTTTTAGGTAGGTTGTTACTTAATTCTAAAAAACGTTGCTCCTAACTTGAGCCGCACTTTAATCAGTTGATTTTTGCTTTAAAATATGTATATATAATATTTTTTTAATATAGATTTTGTTTTTCATTTACTTAGCTTTACAGTTTATGCCTTTTGCTATGATATATATATATTTATTTATTAATTTTTTTTTTTTTAGTTTTCTTGCGTTTTGCTTTGACTAATTTGTGTTCTTATTAGTTGCTGTTCATTTAAATATATAGTACATATACTTATATGCTTTTATGTACGTTATGTATATGTAGTATACAATATAAATATTCACTATATATATATATGTATATACGCATGTATAAACTTAATAGATTTTTTGACGATGGGACACAATCTGCTTCGACTACTGCGCTCAGTTAAAACTTAAGAACCTCTGCCCTCGAGTCAGACAATAAATTGAGTTACAAACAGTTTAAATCTTCAACTTTTTTCATTTATCATTTTGTATGTATGTCAGCAAAAATGTTCATAATAATTATGCCATTTGTATATATATATATATATGTTTTTTTTTTTTAATATTTTCTTTTTAAACCTAAACAATTTATTTATGAATTTTTGCTTTTTGTTTTTCAAAATATCACGTATATATCTTAAGTTATGCCTTGGATTTATTAGTTGCTGTCTGAGGGTGTGTGTGTGTGTGTGTGTGTTGGGTATTGCAGGACATTTACGACTGTACCTCAACAAAAATTCATAACCTAAACTATTTCGCTTTGAAACAAAAATCCGCGACTGGTTTAAGTACACTGCATGTGTGTGTGTGTAGGATGTATGTATGCATGCATGCATGTACGTAAGCATGCACGCATGTACGTAAGCATGCACGCATGCATGTAGGATGTATGTATGCATGCATGCATGTACGTAAGCATGCACGCATGCATGTACGTATATGCATGCACGTATGCATGTATGTATGTATGCACATATGCATGCATGTATGTATGTATGTACGTATGTATGCACGTATGCATGTATGCATGTGGCTTATCTGGTGGTTGTAGTTTTCAACTAGAGCATATTAATTAATTAATTATTGCTTTTATTTTCGTTCTCTTTTTTTTTCTAATTATTGTTACGATTCGATTTTTAAAAATTTGTTTTTTTGTTATATTTAACTATGCAACAATTGAGTTATCATTAAACGTTACAAATTTGTCAACAAGTTGAAGTGCGGCGCAGGCAACGGGGGCGGGGACGAGGGGGAGATGGGATGGGCGACGGCAGCAAGGGGCGTGGGGGGGGGGGGGGGGCGTGTCTACTGCTTGAATTTGCAGGTAATTTGTGAAACCTCTGGGTTCGATTTTCTTTTATTTCATATATATATATATATTTGATTTTGTGGGAGCAAATAAATATTGTTGATCTTAAGGCAAACATACTCGTAAAATATATATATATATTCGATTAATTTTTTTTATTTTTTTGGGTATTATTTAATCGATTTTTCAGCCAAATTTTTGCACCAATTTTTATTAAGCCGCCGTCGCCGTTTGCCTTTGCGCGCCGCAAATATTTTTTCAAATAATTTGATTTTAGTTTTTAGGCCAAGTTTCAACAATGATTACGTAACAAAAAAGGTTTGAAGTTGAATGCTGCCGCTTCTTGCGCTTAGTATTTAGTTTAGTATTAAGTTTAGTATTTTTTTTTTTAGATTTTATGTATGTATTGTATTTAGCTAAATACTCGTGTAACACACTTATTTGAGTGTCTATGTATTGCTTTAGTTATTTTTTTGTTTTTATATCTTTTGAATAGTCTCGCTATGTACTAGGATATAATTAGTATATATATATATATATATGTATATATTTATATATGTATGCATGTATATATATTTGTGTATATGGTATATATTGTGTATATACGTTTCATACTTTTTGCTCTTTTAGCTAGCGCATATTTTGAATATCTTTATTGTATAGGTTCGTTTTTTTCTTCATACTCTTTCACTTTGCTTAAGTACTAATATTTGTTTTTCTTTCTCGGTTTTGCCTTTAGTATTTTAATTCGTTTTAACATCAGTTTTTTGTTTTTTTTTTTGTTGTTTTCTTCGTTAAGACTACAATTTCGTTCAGTTTACTTTTTGCTTGGCTTACAAATATTCTATATAACTTACGCATGTATATATATATGTATATTAGTTATGTGTGTGTGGGTGTGTGTGTGGGTGTGTGTGTGTGTGTGTGTGTGTAGTTGCGCGCCTTCTTTGTGCGGCGTTTCTTTTTTTAAACTAGTTACTTTTTGTTTTTGCTTTGTATTGCTGTATGTGTATAACATTTACCGTTATCATTTACAGTTACATTTACATTTACGTGTGTGTGTGTGTGTATTTTATATAAATTAATATTTATGCATAATTTATGTCTTTCAACTTTCGTTCTGCTGCCCGCCCCGCTGCACGCTCTCTTATACTTTGCGTTCGCGTTTCTCTTCTACCCTCTCTCTCTCTCTCTCTTGCTGCTCTACTGCCTCAATAAATAATATTCTAGCTGACTTGACTTGCTTCTCTCTGTGTGTGTGTGTGTGTGTGTATCTGTCCCATTTGTGCTAAATAACCCAAAATTATATTTCTACATATAAATTTATTTTTGCTGCTTATTTCTGTCTTTCATTTGCCGCAGCAGCTGCAACAATGTTGCCTGCATATAACCCCCTCATACCAGCCCCCCCACTTCCCCTCTGGCAGCCCATCCATTTCCGCTAATTGCACATTATTAAATGTTGCGACTGAAGTACAGTCAAGCCCGACTCGCCGCCCCGCTACCCCACGCACTTTAGCCAGCTCCATCAACTAAAAACATAAGCTGCTTATGCACTCTTATATATGTATGCATGTATGTGTGCATGCGTGCGTATGCATGTGTGTGTGTGTGTCCTTGGTTGATTTCCAACTGTGTATCTATACGTATCTATAGAAAATGTAGCTACAAATTTATTATAATATACTTTAGCAGCTGCTGCTGTTTAAATAAATTCTATTAATGCTTTGTTGTTGTAGTTGTAGTTGTTGCTATTGTTGTTCTTGTAGTAAGTAGCATCAGTATTGTTGTTGTTGTTGTAGTAGTTGTTGTAGTTGTTGCTGCATCCTCAAAGTTAACAGGGATAAATGCCTACAAGAAACAGTCGAAGAACATTTTGCATACATTTCAAAACATATTCATCTGTGTGTGTGTGTGTGTGTGTGTGTGTGTGCTCACACAACTACATGTATACACGTTAGCTACAATATTATGCACAGGCAACACAACAAAAACAAGAATTAATTAAATGGCGCAAAAAATAAATAAAATTAAATTTTTGTTTGCCTTTTTTCTTTTTTTGACTAATTCTCCTAGGGCGCCCCCTAGCTAAGGCGCGTGGGGGCGTGGCATTTAACTAATAATTGACGCCTAGAGCGCAGTGTGTGTGCGTGTGTGTGTGTGTGTGTGAGTTAAATTAAAAATATACTAAATTAATTTAGCAATTAAAATTATAACTAAATTTAGATTTGTTTGTTGTATTTTGTGCGGCTGCGGGCAACTGCAGAGAGCGATGCGGGGATTTGCAGCGTTGTTCTAGTGGCTGTTGTTGTTGTTGTAATTGTTGTTGTAGTAATTGTTGTTGTTGTAGTTGTAGTTGTAGTTGTTGCTGTTGCATCTGCTGTTGCTGCTTGTTGTTGTTGTTGTTGTTGCTCGGGCAGCTCTCAACGATAAATCTTTGCGATTACGAAAATTTGTTGTTCTAGTTGTTCTGGTTGTTGTTGTTGTAGTTGTTGTTGTTATGGTTGTTGTTGTAGTTTGGTTTTATTTAACCTTTGAACGGCGTTGAATTGTTGTGCAGCAAGAACCGAAAGAAAGAAAGATAGAAAAACAAAGCGTATACAAAGAGGTGTGTGTTAAAAACTACAGCAAAAATACAGTTAAATACGGTTATATAGATATATAGGTAGATATATATATAGGATATATATGAGCAAGCATCTGAGAACAAAGTGTGTTCAGGCAAAGGTAGCGAAAGAGAGAGCGAGTGAAAGCACGCTAGGCAGAGAGAGAGAAAGTAAGAGAGTGTGAGCATTGCGCTCTATTTACCTTGATAGTTCTGAGGCCAAATGGTGGGTACATTCTGTAAAAAAAAAAGAAAGAAAAAAAAAGGAAGTTTTAGTATTACAAATGAAGGCTTTGAGGATAATTTCTATGTGGCGCCATCTATTGAGCAGAGCAGGTCGATCTCTATTGAATGGCAGACTATTCCCTGAACTCAAGGCGAGGCCATATTATGATATATGTTTCAACTATTCTATTCGTTCCCATTTAAACTCAATTAAAATGAAGGATTTTTTCTATGTGGCGCCCTCTATTGATCGGAGAATGTCAGATTATTATTATATAGATGGTAGAAAATTCTCGGAATCCCAAGATAAGCCAGTTAGCCGAAGGATAGTCGATAGCGTTAGAGTTCCTTTAAGGATAGTTTGGTTAAGAAATATCCTTCAGCTATTCTGTATTGTTCTGATGAAAGTATCGATATAAGAGTATATACTCAAGAAACCCATTTCAGTGAAAGTCTTCTATCCCAGAGAACCCTCTTTAAAAGTCTTTCTTAATAAATATCCAAGAATATATATCTAAAAGAGAAACATTTCTTTCCCAGCAGCCTGTAGCTATTATAAGATCTTTAACCTTGGAATATACCACAATATATATCTAAAACAAAAAACATTTCAGGGAGTATCCATAAAAACCATATCCTAGAATCCCCTAAAAGAAAATGCTATTCTGTATTTTGGAATCGAATATCAATCTATCTAGTATCTGATATCTATCCATCTAGTATCTGATATCTATCCATCTAGTATCTGATATCTATCCAAAGTATAGTATATGGTATTTTGTTGTTAGTACTCACCATTGGCACGCTGTAGTACTGATAGAATGGCTGATATTGCATGGCTGAAGGTGGGTAGATGGCTGGCACGCCAGCGGCTGTAAAGTCAGTAACTAGTTTTGGTTAATTTGTCCGGCGTTACATAGATTGTATATAGATGTGTTGTTTGTTGTTGTTTCGTTTAAGAGGAGAAAGAGAGTAAAAATTGGAATATAAAAAAGAAAATATCGTTTTATAAAACACAACTTAAAGCCATATAAGAACTTGGAATCGTAAACAATCTCTCTGATAAAACTATGAGAAACTTTATCTCAAAATCTCTCTCACCTGGCGGATAGACGGCAGCGGCAAACTGATCCATCGGTATATTGCTAATCGGTGCCGGCGGCGTGGTGGTATAATAAACGGCTCCATTGGTGGCCACAATCGACTGCAGCGGATTGGGCTAAACAGCAAATACGATAATATAATATAAACAAGATAGAAAAGCTCTTCAGCTGAGACTCACCTGTTTCTTGATGGCTGGCGCAATGTTCAGCTTGCGATCACGCAGCACCACGCACTCACCCTGAGAGCAGAAGGCAGAGTTAAAGCCAGCGGGGAAGAGAAGAGAGTGTATGCATATTTAGTAGAGAATTTTTATAATTTTTCTTCTTTTTTCTTTGTGGTAAGAACTTGTGTGTGTGTGTGTGTGTGTGTGTTGTGTGTTGTGTGTGTGGCATCAACAGACAAGCCAAACGAAATTCAAATTGGAAATTCAAATCGAACGCAGCAGCATCAAAAAAAATGAACCAAAAGAAAATTAAATAAAAGGCACAACGCTTTTGTCTTTCAACGTGGAACAACAATTTTACTTCTTATTCTTCTTTTTTTCTTTTGTGGCAGCGGCAGAGCCCAAAAATGTGGAAAAACACGTGCCAAGCCAAAAAAAAAAAAAAAAAATTATATAAGAAACAAAATACCATTACCAAAGTATGTATATCAAGTAGTATAGTATATAGTTTAGGCATTGTTTTATGTGCGTGTTTTATTACAAAATGTCATGTACTGCAATTCGGTTTGGAATGTTTCATTTTGGTTTTGATTTACGCGCGCGGCACATACACTGGAAGAAAAACAATAACTCAGTTCTTAACAAACGTAAAAAACACATCAACAAAATATTGAACTCAAGCGTTTTTTTTTTTAGATTAAAGCTTCCATCAGTTTGGCTTTACAACAATTTACGCAATTCTCACGCGCAACAATCAAATTTAACTATTATCATACTTTGGTTCTAATTCAGGAATGCCAACACCAAATCGTACAGTTATATATTATATATATGTGTGTAGAATACTCAGAATTTATGGGTTAGTTGGAGAAATGGGATACTATAATATCGAGAATGGATCTGACTTGGATCGGACTATAAAGCTAACAGTAATACGTTATCGGGTTGCCACCTAGTTATTTTATTTGAATGGGGTTGCCACCTAGTTGTTTATTTGATTGGAGTTGCCACATAGTAACAGTGCGTAAGATTTTGACATGAATTTCCACTAAAAAATCGATGTTCAGATTTTAATGCCAGATTATTCTAGAAGGAAAACTATGCATAAAAAGCCAAACCTTGTGAAAATCGGATGAGATTTGACCGAGTTATGGGGTTGGGAAATTTTGACCCATGTCTATATACGAATCTTGGGGGAAGATTTGGACATGAATTTCGACTAAAAAATCGATGTTCAGATTTTAATGCCAAATTAATCTAGATGGAAAACCATTAAGAAAAATACAAATCTCGTGAAAATCGAATGAGATTTGACCGAGTTATGGGGGTTGTAAATTTTGACCCATGTCTATATACGAATCTTGGGGGAAGATTTGGACATGAATTTCGACTAAAAAATCGATGTTCAGATTTTAATGCCAGATTATTCTAGAAGGAAAACTATGCATAAAAAGCCAAACCTTGTGAAAATCGGATGAGATTTGACCGAGTTATGGGGTTGGGAAATTTAGACCTATGTCTATATACGAATCTTGGGATAAGATTTGGACATGAACTTCGACCAAAAAATCGGTGTCGGGATTTGAATGCAAAATTGATCTAGAGGGTAAAACATGTACAAAAAACCAAACTTTTTGAAAATCGCTTGGGTTTTGACCGAGTTACGAAGGTGGGAAGTTTCGACCCATGTCTATATACGAATCTTGGGATAAGATGTCAATATATGAATCTTGGGATAAGATTTTGACATGAATTTCGACTAAAAAATTTGTGTTCAGATTTAAATGCAACATTGATCTAGAGCCCAAACCATGAACAAAAAACCAAACCTCGTGAAAATCGGTTGAGATTTGACCGAGTTATGGGGGTTGGAAATTTTGACCCATGTCTATATACGAATCTTGGGATAAGATTTGGACATGAATTTCGACTAAAAAATCGATGTTCAGATTTTAATGCCAGATTATTCTAGAAGGAAAACCATTAAGAAAAATACAAACTTCGTGAAAATCGGATGAGATTTGACTGAGTTATGGGGTTGGGAAATTTTGACCAATGTCTATATACGAAACTAAGGGGTAAGATTTTGACATGAATTTCGACTAAAAAATTTGTGTTCAGATTTAAATGCAAAATTGATTTAGAGGGTAAACCATGCACAAAAAACCAAACTTTTTGAAAATCGCTTGGGTTTTGACCGAGTTATGGAGGTGGGAAGTTTTGACCCATGTCTATATACGAATCTTGGGACTATTATGTCGAAAGGATTCCGAATTGGATAAGACTGTAAAGCTAAAAGTAATACGTTATCGGGTTGCCACCTAGTAGTTTATTTAAATGTAGTTGCCACCTAGTTAAATTGCGTGACATAACAGCCCAATGATTTCTGATCGAATGTATTGTGGGCCTCCTCTAAACTGGTTATTATGTCGAATGGATCCGACTTTTCTGTAAGGCTACAAATAATACGCTAGGCAAACTAAGCAAGGATTACTTTTATGGAGTTGCCACCTAGTAAAATATTGTGGTGTTCCAAAAAATAGATCTACAAGCTGGTTATATTAAGATTTTGGGTATTACCATGTCGAATGGATATTCGACTTGTCTGTAAAGCAACCAGTAATACGTTATGTCATGTTGCCACCTGGTCGAAAGCTATGCAGGGATTATATCTTGCATGGAGTTGCCACCAAGTGAGAAGTGCGTCACAACAATTGTGGGATTTCCTGTAATTCTATGAAAGATTTTGAAATGCTGTCGATAGGGTTTCCCTTTATTTCTTCCCTTTACCTTTATTGAAAGGATTCCTTCATATTTTAGAAAGGAGGGCTTTCCCGTTTAGGGAAAATGGGGAGAGGATTTGTTCAAATTCCTTTTTGCTTTGCTGAAAGGATTTCTTTGTATTTAGCGTAAGCTTTTCCAATGCTATCGATAAGGTTTCCCCGCTTTAATCGCTTTCTACTGTGCCTGGCCTGGGCGGCACTTGTCAGTGCGCGGGTCAGTTTAACTTTAATTGGCAATTAGGCGCTGATAGCCGCAGCAATTTGCACTTGAAATGCATGAAAAGCCATCATAATGGGCGCACGCATTTAACCACGGACGCACCCATGGCGGAGTTGAGGCCTAAGCAAATATTTACGGAGCAGCTGCTGCTGTTGTTAAACGAGCGCAGGGCCTCGAGTTTTTATACATTTTCTGGCCGTATCCTTTGACCGCTGCAGGGCAAAACAGAGCACAGTCTTTTCATTTGGCCCTCAAAGCATAAAAGACGTCAAGCAACACAAGGATAAGCGTCCATAACACAAAAGGCCGACCCACAGTTATAAATAAAAAGCACAAAAAAAACAAAAGAGTTGCTCACGGTGCTCGGGCGGACGTGCGACCCACTTTTGTCTTGGGTGAATTTAATTAAGAACCCTCTCAAACGGCTTCAATGCTGGGCCCCTTCTTTGTTGCCTTTCACACACACACACACACACACACACACACACACACACAAAAAGGACAACAAGAGGCGGTTCTCTCTGGTCCAGTGTCTTACAACATTTATAAAGTGTGGAAAGCAAGACCCACACCGGAAAATCCCTATGGTCAGCTGGCATGCGCATTAATAAACGCATTCAAAATGTTTTGGCCAAAGTAACATTTCAATTTTGGTATCGAGTGCGCCTTTGAAGTGGAGCCCAATCGGTCTATTGACTGTCTATATATGTATGTATGTGCAGCTCGATGTGTATGAGTGTGTGTGTGTGCGTGCGTGTGTGTTTTGTGTGTTGCCTTGGTAATTATGTATACTAATGTGTGGATTTAGTGCGCTATCAAAAAACATATACACAGGAGTTTAGTAAACGCCAAGAGATGAGTGAAGAGCTGCTCGTGTGTGCGTGTGTGTGTGTGTGTGTATGTTAGTATGTAGGCGTGTGGGCGTGTCTCTGTGGCTTGTATATCTCTGCACGTTGTGGTTGCCGCAGACTAGGTCTATAAGGCTGGGAACTCTATTTGGGCGGTAGCTTTAACTCGAACACAAATGAAATTTTTGGGTAAACGAAATTTAATTAGTGCAAATGTCTGCATATATATATATAAATGGGTGTATGTGTGTGTGTGTGTGGGTGTGCGTGTGTGTGAGTGTGTGTGTTGTGTGCGCATTAAAACCTCGTTAAACGTTGCCACGGCTGGCAGGCCCAGAGAGCGTACATTGTTGTCGCTGCCTGAGGCTGAGGGGGCGGCGGGGGCGGGACGGTAGGCGAGTTGTTAAAGCATGTAAGCATACAAGGACACACACACACACACATACGCCAATACACCTACTTATGTGTGTGTGTGTGTGCAACACACTGAAAATGTGCAAAGCGCCAGCAGCGCAATAACAATGCACATTTAATGACAAGTGGAAAACTTTTTCACTTAATGTATGCCACATACACACAAAAGACACACGTTGGGCAGGAGGGAGAGGCGGGGGGGAGGTGGGGCAGCAGCTGGCTGTTATGCAACACTCTAATCAAAATGCAATACAATTTCTAATAAGGCTCTCTCTCTGTGGCAGCCCCAGAGCCCGTCAGAATCTGCTGTCTTTATTTAGGAACTCGTTTAGCTAAATGGGATGAGCAGTAGGCGGGGCAGAGGCGGAGCAGAGGAGGGCGTGGTGCGTGGGTTGACCCAGCAACTGAACTTTTATGGTGACAGCTAAATAGTAACCCCGCCCCGCTCCGGCCCGCCCCACCCCCTTCCATTCATTGCATTTTATACAAATTGCATAATTGAGAAAAATTATAGTTGTAAATATCGCAATGAAAAATATCGAAATAAAATTCGTTTCAAAAATATACAGCAAAAAATGCACTAGGCTCTAGCTCAATATATTTATATATATATATATGCTATATAGACGTAAGATCTACAATCTATAAACAAGACCGAGGCGTGGGCAATTAGCTAATTTGTTTAATTTGCGCAAAACTGGTTAGAAAAGAGAAAAATTATTGAAAATTGAAAATAAATGAATGTTTTAACGGTGCAACGAACTCAACACGAACTTGTGTTATCGATAACAGTTATCGATAACAACAAATGAAAACGGGACAGCCGTCGCTAACGAGCTAACAAATGCAATTTGATGTGTCTTACTAAAGCTATGTTAAAGTGTGTCTAGATGTGTGTGTTGCTGTGTGTGTAGGTGTGTGTGTGTGTGTTGGTGTGTTTATGAATGTAATATAATGTAACGTAACGTAACGTAACGCAACGGAAACGTAACTCGGAAACGTAACTCAACAAAAACGCAATTAGAAGAAAATACAGAAATACATAAGAATTACAATTTGCCGTCCGTACCGTCATCGATAGACATCGATAAATCGATAAACGATAAATATCATCGATACACGTTTAGTTTCGTGGCACGCTCATACAGCTCATACAAGTGGCAGGTGTGTTGACGGCGTCGCTTTGTGTTGTTGCTTGCACACACACACAAACACACACACACACACACACAGACACACAATCACACACAATAGCGTGGAGTGCACGTGTGTGTGTGTGCGCGCGTGGTGTCTGTGGGTCAGGTAATGCCCTAAAAGATCGGAGGCACATTATAACGTTTGCAGCTGTTTTTGTAAGTGAGTGTAAGGTGAGTGTGTGTGTGTGTGTGTGTGTGTGTGTGTGTGTGTGTGTGTGTTGGTGTTGGTGTTGTGGTCTTCCCGTTACAAAAAGCATCAGAAATCGAAAAATCATAATCGATAGTTAATCGATAAATTAACACAGGCGACATTAGCAAAATTATGTGCGGGCACAAACATTTCTACTTACATCCGCCTGCAGTCTTTGCGCCTCCTGCTCTGTCTCAAAGGTAACAAATCCGTAGCCCTTGCTAACACCGGCACGATCCACAATTATCTTTGTACTCTTCACGGTGCCGTAGGCGCTGAACACACGCGTCAGATCCGCCTCGGTGGTGTCGCCACTGTGGAGAGATCAGAGAGATCAGAGAGAGAGAGAGATCAGTATGAATCTAGTTAAGGCTGCAAGCCAAGGTCGGGCTCAGCTGGGTTTGCTTACCTAATGCCGCCCACAAAGATGCGATTCGGGATAAGTGTGCCGTATTTGGGCGCTGCCAGTGGCGCCTCCAGTGCACCGGTTGGCGCTGTGGCCGCAGCCGGTGCGGCTGTTATTTTGTGCATTTCGGCTGGTGTCGTCTCCAGACGAAAGTTGGCACCGAAGGGCAGAATCTTGAGGCTGTTTTTCTTAAACGTGGGCGCGCAAGAAATTCGATTCCAAAAGCGTGAGAGACTCTCTCTCTCGCTCACTGCGTCTCTCGCTCTCTCTTCTTTCTCTAGCTCTTGTAGAGAGTTATCCTGTGGCTCCTTCTGCTGCTGTTGGGGCTTTTACGCGGCGTTGGTTCGTTCTGTGTTGCTCTTGTCTAGTCTAACACGCATTAATATTTGTTTGTGGGCTGGCGACCGTCGTACCGTCGTCACGTCAGGTCGAGTCGGGTCAGGTCAAGTCACGTCGCGTTTTGCTACTCGTTGCGTTTTCCAGTTTCTTTTCTCAGCGCCTTATGCTGTATGTGTGCGTTGTTGTTCTTCAGCTTTTATAGTTTTTTTTTTTTACGAAAAAAATGCTAGGTTTGCTTTGTCCAAAACTAAGGGAGAGACAGAAAGAGAGAGCATTAAAATACGTTTCAGTTAGGCAGAGGCAAAAGCAGCCTCTGCTGCTGCAGCTGATCTTCGCCTGAAAAATTGCCCCCTACATTTCGAAATGCATCTATTTTGGGAACACAGCGACGACATATGTCACACGAGAGACCTGGCAATACGCTAAGGAGAACACAGAGAGCGACAATGAGCGAGAGAGAGAGGGCGAGGGAGAGGGAGAGGTAACTCGGAGACGCTGGCGACACATGTGTGCGCCATAAATTCACCTTCAGCCGCGGCAACCAAATAGCGCAGAGAGTTTAAATTTAACAACAAGCGGCGGGCAGACAACACAAAGTTGTTGACTGTCAAACGGCAGCAGCAACAATAAAATGCCCAAAATAATGTATCTAGCAGATGCATAGATATATATATGTACTTATTTACAGTACGCGCTCGCCAATTGAAACGACTAGATACTTGAATATATATAAAGGTGCATTTTTTAAGAGCAATCAATGAAGAATCCTTTATTTAAGATTAATAAATATTCTGCAAGATATCTAAACCAATTTGAAAAGGCTGTCGGCTTCAGTTGAAAGATATTTAAACCAATTTCAATAGGAGTACGAATACGTGAATATATAAAGGGACTTAAGCAAGTCCCAAAGGTAAACAAAAAGTAAATATCTAGTCGTTTTCCAATTTCGTCCTCATTTAGTATTGTTTGTTTTCCTTATCGAGTGCCCACTGTACACGACACTCTAGCTTAACATGAGGCAGAGTTCAATTAGCGAAAAGCTTAATGTTTGCTCAAAGTCGTATCTTAACTCACAATCCAACTTGCAGCACATATACACGCTTCTACACCCTCCTCCTACCCCCACCTGCACACCCCTAACACCTCACACCCCCTGCTTATTGCTAACTACACCTACAAAGAAGAAAAAAAAACATAATTATAATTTCATTAGCAATCAATAAGTCCAAATTGCTGGCGCTTTATCGAGAACCAAGGTTTGTTTATATACGTGTAATGTGTGTGTGTGTGCGTGAGGGTGTGTGTGTGTGTGTCGTATCTGTGGGTCAGCTAATGTATCTACACGTGATTATTGCTCACTTCGGTTCGCTTCGTTTCTTGGTGCCAACTCTTGTGGTCATAAATCAACCAAAATATATATAAAAAACCAGAACTAAATATAAATATGAAGATGTATCTATATATATATATATATACGAAATATCTGTAGCGATTGCTGCTCTCATTAAATCACGTCACATTTCCAAAGATTTATTTAAAGCGCATATAAATTTGTGTTTCTGTTTTTCTTGAAAAAGTGAACTTAATGAAAAACTAAAAGCTTTGCGTCTAGCGGATGTATCTGCACAACTGTTGCCCTAAGTGTGCCCCTCATTTGAGTTGCTCGGGGAATGAAATACTTATGAGATGATGCCGCAAGTAGTTAAAATGTACGACGAGCAATTGCATTATTTAAATGCCCTGAAATTGGCAAAGTCAGCGAGCTAACAGAGGTCAACCGGAAAATCACGGCAAACATGACAACATGAGCGCTATCAGCGGAATTTAATCAACAGCAGCCAAGCGGCCATCGTGTCGAGAGAGAATTTACACCCACCGCCCACAGCACACCTGGTTTTGTGTCGACCACTCGACAATATATTGCAAAATTCCGCGTGCGAAAATTGCACGCGTAATGCCAATGAAAACGAACCACCAAAGAATTTAATAATAAAACACAAACATTTCACAGACTGTGGGCACATGATAGCAAGCGCGCGAGCATTTAGCGGAATGTTAAGTGCTCCATATTAAAGTTATCGATTAACGCTGGAATTTTAATTGCTACAACACTGGAGGGTAAATTATCGATTAACGATATGATTTGACAGTCGCAAGTAACGATATAGTACTTAATGCAAGTAATTATACGAATTATCGAAACATTAAAAAAAATGCAAAATACCGATATTTTCGATAGGTTTATTATCGACATTGCCAGAAGAGAAAGTATCGATTTAAAAACCATTTCAATATTGTTTCGATATAAATTACTACAACACTAGAAGGTAAAATTTCGATTAACGATAACGATATTATTGAAATTATTTTTGATAGCTTTAAGAGTTATCGAAAGTAATTAAAAGCATCGATTTAATTACCGTATCAGCAACATTATCGATAGGTTAAAAGTATCGACCAGCGTATCGGCATTGTTATCGATATTTTCGATAGCTTAAAAGCATCGACCATCGTATTAACATTGTTATCGATATTATGGAATGTGTTGCCTTTCTCGAAATGTTAAATCTTTCCATTCGAAAACATTTTATGCTAATTATCGACAAATTGTAAATTATCTATGTGGGTTATTTCCTGTTTTGCAACAGCTAATCCTAAAATCCTGATGTGCTGATGTGCTCATCAAAAATTTATTTCACAACTGCAAATGTATTTCAGTGTTGCCCACACACACACACACACACACATACACACACACACACAAATATGTACAGCTCACCCACACACAAGCATATTCATGTTGTTAGCCTTGATGTGAGGCATTTTTGATTGCCTGCAGGGCAACAGAAATCAGATTCAGCCATGCAACAATTCAACAATTCTGGGAGCTGCAAGCCCCACAACAACATTGTAGCATTCCGCCAACTAGAATACCCTGTACGTCATCTCAAATGGGTCAAGGGTATGACAGGCAAGAGGTCTGTCAGGTTCTGTTCCCAATCGTAAAGGTAGCCTCAAGAACAGTGGGAGGAAAGACGCAATTACAGGGTATCTGCTAGCTCGTCCCTACCTACTTTCTTGTTTACATTGTTTTGCAATCTTCTACACGTTTTACTTCTTTTTTGGCACATTCAAGCGCAACTTGGGCAATTAGGACAATGCAATTAGTAAGCGCCAAACTATTAAATAACCAGCCGGGAGTGCAGGCAGCCGAGAGAAATGCCGAGAGTGAAAGGGTGAGAGTGAGACAGCACGAAAATCGCGTGCAACATTTGACCTATTAAAATGGCAAAATGTGGGCCCCGCTGGAGCTGTGCTCGCAAATAGGAAGGAGGGGCTTAGAGATGGCAAAGGCAAGGGAAGGAGCACACGTAACTGCCCACACGAGATGCATACAGACAAAAGTTGTAGATAAAAATAGTGCAAGAGCTCTGTGGCAGGCAGTTACCTGAGCGCCGGCGGCGTGTCCTTGCCAAAATAAAGAAAAACAAAATAAAGAGAATGTGGGGAAAGGATAGCCAAGGCAAGCGATAGTGAAAGGCTGATAAAAGCCTGAGCTACAGGAAGCATAGGAAACGCAGCAACGCCTTGAGACTAGCACAACAGGAAGCACACAGACACGATGCAGGGGCAGGGGCAGGTGGCAGGTGGCAGGTGGCAGGGGGTGAGGTGGGTTGGTGCTGTTGGCAACAAGCTGATAAGCGTATGTAAGTCACATAAGGACAATTAGCCAAAAGCTCAAGAGGCTTTAAGCCTTTTCTTTTTTTGGCAGCAAAATCCGAATAGCAAACAAGCTGAGCTAAAAACTTGGCTGGCTGCGTGCGCGTGCTGCTTCATAAGTTGGCCAAAATGTGCTTACCAGGCAGGCCAGGAGGAGGGGGGGGGGGGGGGGGGTTGGTGGTGGCATGCTGGGGCGACCTGCACTCAGTCAAAGGTCAATTGAAGTTGCGGCCGAGCAGACAGCCAGCGACAGCAGCCAAGTCAAGTGTAATACGAGAAAGCGCAAAAATGGCACACCAATACACACACACACACACAGCACACACCCGCACACACACACACACACAGAGACACAGCTGGTGACTGACAGCGCGCCGGAAGTGGCTGGCATTTCAGCTCACACCAAAAAGAAGAAGAAGGACCAGAAAAATGTTACACAATCCTTGAGTGTGTGTGCAGGACGTGCTGCTGCTGCTGCTGCCGCTTTGGGTGTCAGTCAAGTGAAAGGAAATTGTAGCTAACACACACAGACACGAAAGATAGGGAGGGCGGGTGTGGGGAGCAGCAGAGAAGGCAGAGGGCTGCGGCAGACATACCAACAGACAAACATCATCATGATGCGGCCTGATGAGTGGGTGGGAGAGCGGCAAATTGATGGCTTGCCAGGCTGCCAAACCCCTGTACCGAGTGTGTGTGTGTGTGCCATGCTTGTGTGTGTGTGTGGCACACAAAAATCCATAATCCTCAGAGCGAGCAGCGAGTGAAGCCGCAGCAGCAAAAGGGAAACGACAAACTACAAAGCGCGAGTCAGAACAAAAAGACATATATACATTAATATATTATGAGACGAGTACGCGAGAATGCGCGACTAACAGATATCCTGTAGACAGATGAATGATGCCAAAAAGCCACGGATAGATCGATATTGATCAATTTTAAGGTTTAGAGGAAAGATCTGATTATATCTGAGATCGAATCGATTATAAAATTTGCAACACATGCTTCCAAGGTTTTTCAGACCGATATTTATCGATTTTTGGAAATTATCGCATTACACTTTATGGCCTGATATATTCTATACCCATTTTCATAGGGTACAAGGGCATAAAAAGTGTGTATGTGTGTGTGTGTGTGAAAAGCTGAAGCAAAGTTGAGCGAAACAATGAAACTTTGCCGCAGCAGCGTTAAATTGTTTGATGTGTGTGTAACCCACACACGCACACAGTGACACCCAAACACACACACACACACAGAGATACATATACACACATATAAAAACTGTGTCCAACTGTGCCGTGTTTGTATTTGGGTTTTTTGGGTTTCAATATTTGCGCAGACTTCGCATCGCAACTTCAAGGCTCGCTTTGAATCCATTTTTTCCTCCCTCCAGCAAAACGCACAGCCCTCCCTACCTCCCTCCCTCCCTAACACGCCCCCCTTTGCCAAGTGCGGTTTGGATAAAGTTTGTCAAGCATTTTGCAAATGATTTATTGCCACATCAGAGAGAGAGAGAGACAACGTTGCGTA